ATACCTGGAGTCACAGATTGGGCAGTTTCTTTTCTTTTTCTTCTAACAGGAGAAGTGGCCTCAACAAGAGTCTGTTCTACCTGATCTTCTTCCTCTTCCTCTTCCTCTTCCCCATCCCCGGAGGGCAGCTCCAGATCCCCAGCAGCAATAACAGAATTAACTATGCAGAAAACAAAGTCAAGGGTCAATCCAGTAGAGGAGTAATAGGAGAAGCTGAACAAACATCAAAACTTACCAAACACCTCTTCACTCTGGGCAAGTCGGCTACCAATATTCTTTGTCAAAGAGGGATCTGATTACAGACAGAATAAAAGATTAGCATCATCACTAAAATCAGAATGGGCAACAACAGACAGAATTGAGAAATTACCTTATATAACTTGCACATTGATGTCTTTAATGGTCTGCACCATGAATTTGTGAGTCTCCTCGTCTGCATGGGCAGTCCAGTTGACCCAACCCTTAAAGAGACCCTGAAGTGCGGTACTCGAAGCAGGCAGATCACGGAATCTGGCCTTCCACCAAGCATCAAACTCCGCAGAACTGCAGGAATTCAGTTCCCATGAAGGATAAAGGGGATCTGCATTATTGTTAATCTTATTCACTGCACACCTGGCATCTTTGTGGACCTCCAAGTCATCTGCATCCCTCCAAGAAGAGCCCCGATTGCAGCTTCTGTATGACTTGAGAGGTATGAGCTGAGGGCAGCCAAGCTGCCTTGCACAGAAGTTGGGATGATAGACTTCCGCCCCCAAATGATAATTTGGAGGCTTTCCTCCTCCATGAGGCAGATCTCTGGGTAAGGTCACACTCAGGAACTTCTTCCTGAAATCAGTCCTGGCAGATTCTTCTTCTGGCTCCTTCTCAAACAGACGATGTCCAGGCTGAAACCAAGGATAGGTTCTCCTGATCACCACTGCAGACCTCTTGGTACAATGCCTGAAGAACATCAGGTACTCATCAATTGACCTCTTGAGGACTTCTGCCGACAACAAAGGTTGAGCCAGAACCTGATCCTCAGGCAAAACTATGTCTGGAAACCTCAATTCAGGAAAATAGACCTGCAGCCAGATCTGAATCATCCAGAAGGCACCAGGGGCAGACAGATTTAGCGGGTACTCCAGGGTGGCAGTATGCAGGTTCTTGAATAGATGAGCCAGAACTGTGGGCCCGAGTCCAACATCAGTGTGATTATGCAAACTTCTGCCAGATGTCTATACTCAAGCAGAACTGCAGAAGAGCGATTGGGCAGAATAAACCTGTTCAGCCAATACATAAGAAACAACATACGCTGCTAGTCCTTGTCCTTCTCAGCACTGAATTTTCGGAGATAATTGGAGAAGGAGCAATTCTGGTTGATCAGGGCTGGAGAAATGTTGAATGGCTTGGCTAGCTTCTGCTGGTTTTTCTTCCAGTGGTAATCACCGACAACATCAACAGGTCTTCTATGAGGCCTAAAACCAAAAATCTGAGCCATATCCAGCAGAGTTGGAGCCATGGGGCCTATACGAAAGTCGAAGGTGTTACTGGCAGAATTCCAGAAACACAGAGCAGCAGCAAGCAGGTTCTCATCTCTGTTGATAGATTGCCT